TGCTCTCAACTCTTCTTTCCTCCTCACCCTTCCGTCCTCCCTACCTCTTTAGCATATCGATATTCAACTAGAGTGACTCCTTGCCTCCCTTTTCCCTCTGCTTACTTTCTAATGTACGCATTTCTCTTCATATTCGTGTGTCTGCCTGGCTTCTATCCTTCTGTTTTCTTTTTCTGACTCGGTCTCTCTCTCTCCCTCCCTTTTCCCTCTCTTACTTTCTATGTCGCATTCTCTCTCAATTTCTGTGTCTGCCTGCCTATCTTCTGTTTTTCTGTCTCTGACTCGGTCTCTCTCCCTCCCTTCCTCTCTCCCTCTCTCTCTCTCCCCTCCCCTTTCTCTCCCTCTCTTCCTCCGGCTCGCTCCCTCCCTCTCTCTCTCTTTCTCTCTCCCTCTCTCTTCCTCCTCTCTCGCTTTCTCTCGCCCTCCCTCTCAATCCCTCTGTCGCCGGGCATCCCTCCGCCTCCCTCCCCTTGCCTTCCTTCCTCTCCCTCGCTCTTGCTCCCCCTAACATCCTTATTAAACTAGGGCGCTATAGCACGACATTCTTACTTTGTATTGTTAAAGGTCACCCGTAAAAGCAGACAGCTATACGCGTGTTACCCACGTCTGTGGCTATGCACATCGTAGATGCGTAGCTGTCTGCTATTCTGTGTCTCCCCCCTTCTCTCTCTNTCAAGCATATATAGGTTATAGCGCGAGGGAAGGGAGATTATAGCATAGTTTTTATACCCCACCGTGATAAATTATGACATGTACAGAGTTTTAATCTATAATTTAATTATCTACCAGGGAGTAAACACACTCTACAGACCGAGGAAGAACCGTTTGCTGACACGTCTCTTCTGGTCGGGAGAATACATCAATCAGGCCTTTGCTAACAGTATAGGGTAGGTCTAGCGGGAATGTATGGACACGACCAGGCGAAAGAAGTGAGAGAAGCAGTAATTTGACGTACGACGGTGCAAATACAGCGCAAGGTATGGAAATACTTGTGACATCCAATCATGTGAGAGTAGATTGAAAATCGAATCTAAAGCTTTGTCAGTCCTGCAATATTAGATTGACCATACAATCTTAGCAACACGCTATATGGTGTGTGTGTAGGGGTGGGGGTGCTTCTCTTTCTCAGCTCTTTCTAATAACCTATCAACTAACTCCATTCTACAATCCCTCATACCGTCCCTCCTCAATAAACTAGTAAATTAGTGTATTTAATATATCTAGTTTTTTCTCCCTGTCCCCATCATTCATTCCCTTGTGTTCGTTATAGATAATTGATTCCGCGTATACTTCCGCGTATGAAACCAAAATTAATAGAATAGCAAAGAAGAAATAGCGAAATCTGTATTCGGCAGCTGCTTGCTACCTGGCTGTTTAAAAGAGATGAAATGCGCGATTGCTACCTGGCTAACGAGCTAGAGCTATGGTTGTATTTGCATTCTACGACGGGAGGGGGTGTGAATCGAATAAAGCGTCCAAGAGCTACTGTGTATGATTTGCATGTTACGGAGAGGGGTGGATAAATGAATGAATAAATCATTTCTTACAGGAGAGGGTAATGAAGGAATGAAGCTCCCAGAGCTTAAGTTCTGTGATTTCATCTTACGGAGAAAGGTGATAAATGAAAGTGAATAAATCATCTTTACAGGAGAGGGTGATGAAGGCAATGAAGGCTCCAAAGCAGCGAATGTTCCTGTGATATTGCATCTTACGGAGCGAGGTGTGAATAAATGAATGACATAAATAATCGCTTACAGGAGAAGGGTGATGACTGAATGAAGCTCTAAGAGTACTAGTGGTATGATTTGCATCTTTACGAGGGAGGGGTGATAAATGAATGAATAATAATCTTATCAGGAAGAGGGTGATTGACTGCACACTGAAGCTCTATAGAGCTACTGTGTGTGATTTGTGCATTTTTAAGCGGAGGAAACAGGTCCGTAAATGATGAACTACAAAGAGCTAAGGTCTTGTGATTTGCATCTTACGGGAAGGAGGGGTGATAAATGAATGAATAAATCATCTTACGAGAGAGGTGATGAAGGAAGAATCTTCTAAGAGCTAAGTCTGTGATTTGCATCTTACGGAGGAGGGGTGAGTAAATTGAATAAATAAATCATCTTACGGGAGAGGGTGATGACTGAAATGAAGCTCATTACAGAGCCATGGGTTGTGATTTTGGCAGTCTTTAAACGAGGGAGGGGTGATGAATGATAAAGAGCTAAGAGCTAACTGTGTATGATTTGCATGTTACGGGAGGAAAGGGGTTGGAATAAATAAGTAAAGCACTACAGAGCTACTTATTCGGCCATCTTACATGAGCAGGGGTGGGGAATGAAAGGATTGTTGTACTTTTGGTGTTTCTGCTGTGTCGTATAATACCTGTGCGTATGTTTCGCACGTCTATGGTGTGTGTATGTGTAATTATCAATAGGACTGCAGATGCCGTGGGTGCATTTAAGTGGCAAGACGTGGAAGAGTGGCCTGTATAGCGAGTATCAGCCTGTTGCACTTACGTGTGGTTCTTTCAATCTGATCAGCATATATGATGGTCCTGCGTCGTATAATATGCGAGTGAAGTGAGATTGGCAATCTTTGCGAAATAGTGTTATGCAACGAAATGCGCTGAAGTGTGTATGATTATATTGCTAACTGTGGCAAGCGTTCGCGGTCGACCGATTATTCAGTCAATCCTGACAATTGAGACTATCATTCCGTAATAGTTATTTCACAATATGGACGTTATACTATCAGTGAAAGTTTATAATGCTTCTGCTCGTGTCAGTATAACCAGACTGCTATATAGCAGTAGGTGCTAAGTGATATAAGGCCTCACTCTCCTTTCACAACACAATTTCTTCTGCGTCTCGCACTCCGTCATCGTCTCTCAAATCTAGTCTCTCCATCGGTCCAGTCCTCTGTCTTCATCTTTGCCGCTCCCTCCCTCCCTCCTCCGCTCCCTCCTCCGCTGCGCCTCGCTCCCTCCTGGCCTCCCTCTCCGTCTCTGCTCTCTTCCTCGCCCCTCCGTCCCTCTCTCTTTCTCTTTTTCTTTTCTCTCTCACTCCTGCGCTCTCGTCTCTCTCGTCTCCTCGATCTCGTCTCGTCTTCTTTTTCTCGTCTCTCTCTCATTGGGAAGTGGGAGTAGACTTTCTCTCCTCGTCTCTCGTTTCTCATTCGTATGATTCGAAGGAACGTGCGTTTTCTCATGGTCTCTGCTCTTTTCTTCTTCTCTCTATCTCTCTCTCTGTCTCAGAAGCCTGGAATAACTCTCTCCATCGGTCTGGGGGTTCCAAATCTATCTCTTTTTTGACTTTCTCTATATATCTCTCGTCTCTCCCCTGTCGTCATAAATCGCAGGGAGTGTGTGTTGAAAACTAAAAGGATTTGCGTGTAACTGCCGGCGCGGTGACAACGAGGATAATTTTCTGAAATGCCGAGAGAAATGTCGCCGCCGCCCTACAAGTAGCTTCACACAACCATCAAGCACGCGGACCCGCACGTTAATCCACACACGACCCCGCGGGTCAACAATAAACCCTAACCATTAACATGAACTGCTAACACTAATCTACCTAGAACCCTAACCCAAACTCTGACACTTAACCATGGAACACTAACACTGACACTAACATCTAAACACTAACACTCACACTATTAAAACCACTAACTACCTAACACTAAAACACTATATACAACTAAACACTAGCACTAACACTACCCTAACAACTTAACACTAAACACTAGACACTAACCGCTAACGGCGCTAAGTCCAGGCCTATAACTAAAACTATACTACCACTATTAATTATAAAACTATACTAGCTAAATAAACGCGCACTCCGGCTACCACCTTTAGAACACGCATTGATCCGCAGCGAACGTTGGGTCATCCTAGTACGTTAGACGCGGAGCATGATAATATTTATGATTACTATGGATATAACATTTCTACTAGTCTTGAAATGCGAATTGGTTTCCACTTTATAGTTACTCTTACTGTCTCTACTCTACTAGCTTTTACGATCACAAATTTGTCTACAAATGCGATTTTCCGATTACCCCGTTTCAGTTCTAGGATTTTTACATCCAACAACATGTCGATTTTCTAGATTTTAGATTTTGAAATTTATTTACGCTTTCAAACATTACATGGTTACATAAATGTCACAACGATTTTTAAATAAATGCAGTGAGGGAGAGCGAGTTGACTGAACAGTCTTCAAGTCAGCCACTCCGCAATATAAAGTTATTTACTGAAAGTTAATCCATGAATGACAATAAGATTGATAATTACAAAACTGTATATGAGCGATGTATAAAAATAAATAAACTATAAATAAACTACATGCAGATAAACCTGAGTTTACCTGAACCTGGTGTCAGCAATACAAAATGCAGGTCCCAAAAATATATATAGACGTTAACAGAAAAAAACGCTCATAGAAGGCAAAGCTGAACAATAATTAACAGGCAAAATAAGTGAAAGCACAATAATTGAAGAGATTTCAAGCAAAGAAAGGACAGTAGCAACTGCATAACAAAATCACAGCTACCAGCTGATCTGCCCTTACCACCACCAACACGCTCACGTACGCCACCAGCTGATCTGCTCCCCTTTATAATAAAATTATATACTATGTATATACTATGTATATGTGTATGTAATGTTATACTATGTATATTAACAATATATTATTATTTTATGAACATTATTTATGCGTATCGCTTTGTACCTATCTATTCCAGCAGTCTCTCTCGATAAGTATTTGCCAGTTGAACTTTGCCGCTCGCCCATTATTGTACAGTATTGTTTCTACCACTGCCAACAATATACATTGTTCCCCCCACCACCACCAACACGCTCGTGCTACCAGCTGATCTGCCCCCACCACCACCAACACGCTCACGCACGCCACCAGCTGATCTGCCCCCACTACCAACAACACGCTCACGCACGCCACCAGCTGATACAGCAGCCGCAGCAACAGCAGCAGCAAATGATGTACCAGAGTCGACAGCAGCAGCAGCAGCAGCAGCAGCAGCCGCAGCACATGATGTTCCAGAATGGACAGCAACAGCAGCAGCAGCCGCAGCAACACATGATGTACCAGAATAGACAGCAGCAGCAGCCGCAGCAGCAGCAGACGATGATGATTAGAGGGTTAGCACCTATGCAGATTCGGCAATCGTTCAACGTCGCGCCAATGATGCAACAGCGTGTCCAGCAGGTGGCGCCCGTGATGCGACAGGTTCAATCCACGGTGCAGACATCTCCAGGCTTCAGGCGATCTTCCTCCTCGTCATCGTCATCGTCGTCGTCATCCTTCGGATCCACGGGAATTGCTGGTAAGATTTATTTATCTATCTAACGATCTAACTATCTGTCTGTCCGTCTGTCCGTCCGTCCGTTCGCCCGTCCGTCCGTTCGTCCGTCCGTCCGTCCGTCCGTCCGTCCATCTGTCTGTCTATCTATATATCTAACTAAATCAATCAAATAAATATACAGAAAGCGCTGCGGTCGGTTGCAGCTTCCCGTAACCATAGCAACCAGTACTTCACCCGTCTGCTACGCTAACAGTCGAACCGCGTTTACAAAACCATGACGACAGAAGAATCTGCGATAAAAAACGCGATTTCTCATTTACTTGTTTCTGTTTTGTCTCCGCGGCAGGTTTTGGTTCGAGTCCCAGTGGTGACATAGACCCAAACAACTTCGCCAACATCGACGCCAGCGACTTTGGTTTCGACAACTTCGGCAACATGTACATCAACGTCGAGGCTTTCGACTTCACCAACTGGAGGAACGCCGCCCAGGCCGCCGCTCCGCGTGAGGCAATCAACGCCGCACAGACCGAGCAGATCGTCATCGGCCGTCGATTCCGATCCGGATCCGCCCGTCAGACGGAGACCAGCTCGGCCTCGAAGGAAGGCAGCGGCAACGGAGAAGCCGGCATCGAGTTGTCTGCCTCTCGCACTGCCTCCCAGGACAACACCCAGCAGTTCACGCAGGAGGCGACGGGAGAGGGCAAGACCGAGCAGGGAGCGACGTACGGATTCGAGAGGAACAACAAGGGAGAGATCCGGTTCAATCCGGTCAAGCTGGATTCGCTTCCGGTTCACTCTGGACCGGCGAACACGGTGCCGACGCAAGCGCGCTCTGGCGGCCAACAGAGCAACAGAGGTCAGTCTAAGACATGGTAAGCGACGCTGCCGAGTGGGCGGAGCTTCGTCTGCCGACAAGTCCGAAACAACCAATCAGATGACACGACACAACAACTCGCAGCCAATCAGATGAACCGACAGAATTGCTCGCAACAAATCAGATGGTCTGACAGAATTGCTCGCAACCAATCAGATGGTCTGACAGAATAACACGCATCCAATCAGATGGTCCGACAGAATTGCTCGCAACCAATCAGACGGTCCAACAGAATCGCTCGCAACCAATCAGATGTACCGATAGGCATACCTTCCCACAGACATAAATAAAGCCGATAGCAAGAAAGCGGTAACACATCGGTAACGAAGCTGTTAGCAGAAGACAACGAGCTTGATAACGACGCGGATAGCGACACGGATAACGAGACGGATAACGACACATGTATTAGTGGCATACGACTAACAAACAGCAGAGAATGTGATATAGGCATCATAGCAGACAGCCGCGGCTCCGTGCATGCACCGTATCTATATATAGTATATGACATCATCAACTCCACGTTCGTGATTTATCTCCAACTGTTAAACGCCTGTATTCTTACTTCCGTCATCATTCCCTTTGAGATCTTCGTCATGCACAATGTTACTAGTTGGATTATTATTATTATTATTTTATCAGTTGCATTGGATTAACGGTTTCAGTGGGAATGATTGATCACAGCGAAATGTGTTTCTATGTTTCGGCTGTTCGTTTTGGATTTGGCTTTTTTTAAAATCTTGGTTTTGGTTTTTGCTTTCTAAATTTTGGTTTGTTTTAATGTTTTTAGCGATTTTTCTTTCGGGTTTTTAAATTTTGGGTCACATCGTACCTATAGACGCTGTTACTACCTAAGATATGACAGTCTGATATCGCTACAGCGAACCAAACGAAAGTGAAAGTGAAAGTGAAATCGACGATGAGAACTGAAACCGTGTTAAGCAATTCTGACATGAGCAAGGCCATTTCATCTTTGTAAATAAACAATCGTACCCTATAGCAACATGCGCTAGCAAATAAAATCTGGAAAAAAACACTGAATGGCGTTTTTCGTTTATTTCGTCTTACAATGTTAACAAAACAAAACAAACGCGGTCGAATCATACACTCGCGGGTCCTCTCTCAGAAATTAAGAACTCTAAAAAAATTCGTCTTAACATTTAGCATTAACTTTACAATGTTTCTGACGATAAAATGCATATAACTACGTATTTCTTTTGTTTTTCCCTGAGCTGCTATAGACTGCGCCGCTAACACACGTTAGACTATATGTACCTGTAGAGAGCAGTGCTGTGAAACGACGT